GTTGCATCTGTTTGCTGAACATCTTGATCAGTACTCCATAAATTCCTGGAGCATTGTTCTTCACCGATGCCTTCAGGGAAGCTTGGACTTCCTTCAGTACCATCAGTTCTTGATCGTATCCTACCTTCTGAAATGGTTGAACATCAACCAGTTCTTTTTGGTACAATGACAGTGTATTCATTCTATGTTCTTTTGATGTTTCCTGCATTGTTCAATATCTTGCCCAGAGAATCCTTCAGTATTGCAACTCAAGGCTGGAAATTTTTTTTCAGTTCTTTCTTTCTTTTTGGTTTTCTAACTCCAAGTCCTTACATATTTCATTTTAATACTTTACTTTGTCTTCTCAAGCTACTCTTTGAAATTTTCTGTTCAGCTCATTGCCTTTATATCTTCCATTCACTTTAGCTATTCTGTGTTCAAGAGCAAGGTTCAGAGTCTCTTCAGACATCAATTTTGGTCTTTTTTTTCTTCCCTGTCATTTTAATGAACTTTTGCTTCATTCTTGTATGATGTCTTTGATGTTATCCTACAACTTCTCTGGTCATTAGTGTTCAATCTATTGAACTAGTATCAAATGTATTCTTGAGATGGTCTTATCCAGGTGGAATATACTCAAGGTTGCACTTTGGCTTTCATGGACTAATTTTCATTTTCTTCAGCTTCAATTTGAACTTGCATATGAGCAATTAATGATGTGTTCTGCTGTTGGCCGCTGGTCTTGTTCTGACTGATGACACTGAGCTTTTCCATTGTTTCTTTCCACAGATGTAATTGATTGGATTCCTAGATATTCCATCCAGTGAGGTCCACATGTATATCACCATTAATGCTGTGAAAAAAAGGTATTTCCAATGAATAGGTCATTGGTCTTGCAAAATTCTATCATGTTCTCTGGCATTGTTTCTGTTACTCAGACCATATTTTCCAACTACTGATCCTTCATTTCCAACTTTTACAGTCCATTCACCAGTAATTATCAGTGCTTCTTAATTGTGTGTGTGATCCATTTCAGACTGCAGAAGTTGGTAAAAATCTTCAGTTTCTTCATCTTTAGCATTAGTTGTTGATTTGTAAATTTGAATAATAGTCATTATTAACTGGTCTTCTTTGTAGGCATATGAAAATTATCCTATCACTAACTATGTTGAACTCCAGGGTAGATACTGAAATGTTCTTTTTGATGATGAATGTCATGCCATTGCTTTTTAATTTGTCATTCCCTTCATAGTAGAGCAGGAGCTCTGGTAGCATAGTGCCTAAGGCATTTGACTGCTAACCAGAAGGCTGGCGGTTCAAACCCATCAGCCACTCCTCAGAAGGAAGATAGGGCAATCTACTTCCATAGCAATACCACCTTGGAAACCCAAGAAGGGGTCACTATGAGTCAGATCCAACTCGATGGATGGCAGTGCGTTTGCTTTTCGTTCATAGTAGACTATATGATTATCTGATTCAAAACATCCAATCCTAGTCCTTTCAACTCACTAGTGCCTAGGATATTAATCTTTATGCGTTCTGGTTCATTTTTGATGACTTCTAATTTTCCTGGACTCATACTTCATACACTCCATGTTACAATTATTAATGGATGTTTGTGGCTGTTTCTTCTCATTTTGAGTTGCACCACAGCAGCAAATGAAGGTCTTGAAAGCTTTATTCCATCCATATCATTAAGGTGGACTCTACTTTGAGGAGGCAGCTCTTTCCCAGTCATATTTTGAGTGCTTTCCAACCTGAGAGGCTCATCTTCCAGCACTGTATCAATGTTGCTGCTATTCATAAGGTTTTTACTAGCCAATTTTTTTTCTAGAAGTAGACCACTAGGTCCTACTTCCCAGTGTATCTTAGTCTGGAAGTTCCGCTGAAACCAGTCCACCATGGTTGACTGTGCTGGTATTGGAAATACTAGTGGCATAGCTTACAGCATCACAGTTACATGCAAGCCACCACAGTACAACAGACTGACAGATGAGTGATGGCGGCCCAACAATGGGCCTCTAAAGTGAACAAAAACACCCTGTGAGGAGTATGCTTCTCAGAATAGTTAACTTTTCAAGACTGAAAGGGCAGTATTTGCCCAAAAACAAAGTTCAGAAAACAAGAAGGGTCAGGAAAGCTGGGCAAATGGGAACAAGGAACCAAGGAAGGAACTGGGAAGAGTGCTGTTACATTGAGGGGATTGCAGCTAACATCATGAAACAAAATGTGTATCACTTGTTGAATGGGAAACTAATTTGCTCTGTAAACTTTCACCCAAACCATAATAAAATGTTGGAAAATAAAAATAAATCCAACATCTCTCAGGCACTGAACAATAAAACCTTAAAAAGGAAAGAGAAAAAATGCCAACATCATAAATAGACAAAAGTCATATCTTAAAAAGATGTCTTATTCTAAAACAACCCAAATAAAATCAGGAAAAATCACACTTGAGCACACAAGAAAATGTTCTTAACCTCCAACAGCTGCCCTTTCAAGCACTGACCTGGGAGACCTGTGATTTCCTGTTCCACTCATTTATTCACTCATTCAGCAAATGTTGATTCAAAGATTCAGTCTCTACTATAGGCCAGACACTGCTTTAAGCACTGATGGGGGAAAGGGAAATAACTAGGGTCCTGTTTTTAATCTGCACATTCTAGTGGGTCAGAATATAGAAGGATGTTGAATTGGATGGTTCAATTGAGACTCCAAAAGTGCTCAGAAGAGGATTAAGACCAACAGCCCTGAGGACAGTCCAAAGGAGATAGCCTGTTCTATGCAGGGCTTCTAACCAATTCATTCCAGTCCGACCCACTGCTGAGAATTTGCATTTTCACTCCAGATGCACTGAATTAGAATCCACATTTAACAAAATCCCTAGGTGATTATTGTAGATACCCAGGTGATTCTTACATATATTTATGGGCATGTACACACAAGAATCACCTGGTGATCTCATGCTGTAGATTCTGATTCAGTGTATCTGGGGTGGAAATGCAAATTCTCAGCAGGGTGTTGAACCAGAATGAACTGGTTGAAAGCCCTAGTTCTACAATTTTTGTCTCCTCAATCTCATTGAAGATGCAGAAACATCATGTTCTTCAAGATTGGAGAAAGAAAACAAATAGGGAAGAGGATATCTTCAGGGAGAGTTTCTAGTGGACTGGAGGCTTACCACTACCACCATGATGATGGCATGTTTGGCTAACCACAAACTTTGTGACAGGGGTTTCAGTCAGACCCGTTGGAGAGCTGGAGGTCTGTTTCCTGCAGAAGGGGGATCCCCAGGCTTGATGAAGCTAAGGTAGCATGTGGTGGCAGAGTATTCTATGAGGGACGTTACTGAGTCCCAGGCACAGTGTGGAGCTATAGCAGGAACTCAACTTAAGGCTCAACTTCAAGGCAGTCATGCCAACAGGCAGCATGTCATGGATAGAGAAGCTGAGCAGTACAAGGCAGTGGGGGCACTAGAGAGTGCAGAAGCTGAAAACCATGAGTGAGCAGCCAAAGAAGAGGCAGCAACCGCCTAAGGGACTTATAGGTGGAGGGGAGGGGCACCAAGAGAGCTTTCTCAGAACGTCTAAAAGCATCCCCTAGGGAAAGAGTCATCTGTAAACTCATGCTAAGTGAAGAGAGCGCAAAGCAATCTGACAATTACAGCAGCCAAGTTGGATCTTTCATTTCACCCTTACCTCTCCTTCCTCTTGCCTGCTCACCCAGGAATGGCCCAAGTGCACACCTTGCAGTATGGCTCCCATGCTTTCACCACTCCACCACACCGCCCCTACTGTAATGTGCCGACGCTGATCTTAAGTGCTTTTGCAACCTATATGCCTTTCTTCCAACTCTAGGTCGCTCTACAAGGCAGACACCGCCATATGCAATCAGACCACACAAAAGAGCATTCCAGTCTTTTTCTGTAGCCCATGACAAATTTGTTGTGAAGAGTGGTCAACAGAAGAAACACAGATTCCAAATAAAAGTGGCTTACTTTTTCAGATCCTAATCTGATTTGTTACCCCAGTCTTTTAAGAACTAATGTAATCTCCTCTTTCCTGGCGCAAGCCTTCCACTCCCTAGAAGAGTCTCAGAGCAAAGAAGAAGCCAGGCAAGCACCTCTAAGGGATGCAGCCAGTAGATGACTAATGAGTAGTCAGTGTAAAGGAAATCAGGGGCTCTGCCTAACTTTTCGTTGACAACTTCAAGGCTTACAACATACGCTATAGGTGTCACTGTTGCCTGCGGTTGTCCTTTCTTATTTCTTGGGTGCTCAGAAGGTGACTACATTTGAATGTGTTTTTCATGCATCCCAGGCTAGACATTGAAGAGTCCAATAGGGCCACCCCAAGGCTGACCAGATCACCTTTAAGCTTGCTCTTTGGAGGATTTTATATTTATTGAAGGGAGGGGGATTCCCTAACAAGTGGGGCCAAGAGTAGGGCAGGTTCAAGATGCCCATAACAAAGAGAGCTCAGGTAAAGAGGCTTCTGGGACTCACTGGGCAGCCATATCCTCTCAGGAAGTTCTCAGCTCAAAAGTCCTTTGTTTGCATATTAAACAGGTAATTGCTACCTGTATTTGAGAAGTAGTGAGGGAGCCCTCCTCGGTTAAGTGATCAAGCACTTGGCTGCTAATTCAAAGGTCAGAGTTCAAACCCACCGGCCACTCCCTGGGAGGGAGAAAGATGAAGCAATTTGCTTCTGAAAAGATTGTTGTTGTTGTCGTTATGTGCCCTCCAGTCGGCCCTGACTCGTAGTGACCCCTCCTTGGGTTTCCGAGGCAGTATCACTACTGAAGTAGGATTGCCCAACCTTCCTTCTGAGGAATGGCTGGTGGGTTTGAACCGCCAGCCTTCTGGTTAGCAGTCAAGTGCTTTAGCCACTATGCTACCAAAAGATTACAGCTGTGGAAACCCTATGGGGCAGTTCTATTCAGTCCTATAGTGTTGCTATGAGTTGGAATTGACTCAGTGACAATAGGTTTAGTTTGGGTTCCTTACAAAAAAGAAAGCAACCTACCACACAGAGGGACATCACAGTAGTCATAAAGCTTCTTTGGGTTCATTGTGTAGCACCAAGGACCGTTGACATCTCCATCTGGGTTGCGACAGTACTGAGAAAAAGGCAGAAGTAGGTGATCTCGCTCACACTGGGGCCACACGAGGGAGGGTGCTCCAAGGCACAGTCATTTTACTTCTGTCCTTACAGATGAAATGTGTGCCTTTTTTGAGGAGGAGGCTTGGCAGAGTGACTTTGGGGATGGTTGTAAAGCCTCTGAATTCCAGCTGTACCATTGGTCATGTCCCTTTTATGCCAGAGAAGCTCAAAGGATGAGGCTACCACTGAAGAGAGAGTGGTAGCCCCAACGGAGTCCTGAGGTAGAAGATATATAAAGTGCCCTTCTCCCATCAGGACTCTGAATTGTGGAGATCACAGAGGCTCCCAGCAGCAGAGGACAGTAGGATGCTGCTGACCAGTCTTACCCCTCCTCTACTGCAGCAACATTCTACCTGGTGAAGCTGTTTGCCTCTTGGTTCAGAAAGGTTTATTTCCATAGACTGTGTACATTCCATGAGCCAAGCCACAGAATGGCAGTGTCTTCCTTTCTTCTCTCTACAAATCCCCAGAGAAAACCATCCCAGGAAGTGAGTGAGCCTGGAAGAAACCTACTGTATAGAGTCCTGATGGCCTCATAATAAGTGTTCTAGAAGAATCCAACTAAAATGTCATTAAGGGCATTTTTAACCACCAGAACCTAGAGGACAAACTAGAAATAGAACTAGTACCCAGTAATAGAAGCGTGTGGAAAAAGTCCCAAAGGCAAAGAAGAGGCCAAGGAACCAATGGCAACTGTGGAGGTTTGCCCGCCATGTTTGTTGCACTCTCCAAGCTGGCACCACTTATATTTCAGGCAGAGTCCCCTGAAATCTCGCTTATTTTTTTGCCTCCCTCCAGCCACCAAACAGCAGTCCTGGCTGATTTCTGTCACACAAGACCAGTTCTGTTTGCACAGATTGGTCAGCAGAAAGAGAACCCCAAACTAAGTGACTTACGTTTTTCTCCAGACCTGCCTGGGGATTCGTGTCTGGAGTGAAAATGCTGTGCCTGTGGGGCTCCTGGGCAGCCCACCCCTGGCATGGAGTGCCAGTGACAGTAGTGGCCTTCTTGCCCCGATACCCTTTGCCATTCCCAAACATGCAATCTGTAGGAACAACAGGAGGGGCTCATGAAGTATTCCATCCACCAGAGAGATGATGAATAAATATTTGCAGTGACTTTGGGTTTTTCCAAGAAGACAGGCTCAGTGATCAAGTCCTTCAGAACACTCAATGTGACGGTCACAATGGATCCTGCTTATTTTTAAAAGTTCCCCCCCAAAAAAAGGTTATTGACTTGAAAATAATCACAAATTTAGCAGGATATTAGAATGGAAATTTCTGCTGGGACATTATGATAAAATAGGACATCATCTACTGGGACACTGATAAAAAGAGCATCTGTGAGGATCAGTGCCACATAGACGCTACTATAAGCCATCCCATGACTCTTAAACACCTCACTCTCATCAAAGATAGAGAAAATAGGTGCAGATTAAAAGGATTTTATAACAAGTCTTATTTTGGCTACAGCCATGCTGTAAGGGCCCACCCTCTGAGATGAGTAAGGTGAAAAAGGTGACTTGGGCTCTTCTTGTCCCCAGAGGTTTGTCCTTCATCTCAAGCCTAGGGATGGGGCTCCCATGGACCCCCTCAGAGAATGTTCTGTGTGTCCTTTGTAGGTGCCCAGTGGACCAGTGTTCTTATAGCCACTTGTAAAATCCGAGCAAAAGCTGGGCAGCTAGCCTCTCTACAACAGGTGGCAGTGTGTGTGACCAGGATCAGGGTGTATGAGATAGCCATGCACTGGATGTGGACATGCATTTGAGAGACCATGCCAGGTACAAGGAACATGTACCAGGGACACCTAGGTGGGGCGCTCAGCCTCCCCAGTCTCACCAGAGAAGAGGAAGCAGAGGTGCATCTGCCCTTTCCCAGGGAGCACTGGGGAAGAAGAGTCAACATCAGCAAGTGTACAGGGGGACAGGAGAGGCCTCGACTTCAAACCAAGTTCTCATCTTTAATCATTGCTATTTGGACAATTGTGTGTTACCCAAAAGTTATTAGAAAGGTCATGAGACCACCGGCACTGTCATTCTGGGACAGACAGAGAATTGGCCCCTGTCTGACCTCTCCACCTAAACCGTTGCAGAGCACTTGATAGCTGCCTCCCAACTGCAGGGCCAGGTGCTAAGTGCTTTGAGGTATGAACCAAGGGCCTTGATGCAGAGAGGAAGTCCTGGTTACTTTTTGCCTTCCACCTCAGGTGACAAGCAAATTCTTACATTCAGTCTGGATAACCCCTCGTAGTTACAAATCCACTTTGCCGACATAAAAGGCCTTCTAAGTCAAAATATTCCAACCCAAATTCATCACTTCTTTCCCTCCACAAATATGGCAGAGAGTTTTGCTTTTCTTAAATTATCCATTCTGCCAGTGCCATCACTATCAACGTCTTCATCCACCCAGGCTCAACATTTGATCCCTCAAAACCAGGTTGTTTCAAGTCCTAAAGGAACTGCCTACCTGCCTTACACCAGCAGTAGCAGTGATGGCTCCCAAAGAGAGGAAGTGCCCAGTCTTCCTCTCACACAGCCTGTCCCCAACCAACTTGAGTTACCGTGCAGCTTTTACACCTTCTGTGTCAGTAAGCTTTTCCATTTCTTTGCATCCCTACGCCCATGTGATAGAAGATGTCTGGCCATGGACATTTACCTGTATCAGAAGAAGCCTCAACACTTGGAACTTGGGACACAGCAGAGGAGTTTGAGACACTTCCTCCTGTCTCTGGACATTTGTTTAGATTACAGTACTCCCATCGGACACTTGGGTCAGTGGTGAAACACCAAGGTCTCTCATCAGCATCAGGATTTCTGCAGTAGTTCATTGTCAAGTCACTGTCAATTCCAAAACAGCGCAGGTCAGTAGAGTGAGAGAATCTCCAGGGACACCCAAGCACCCTCTCAAGTTTGTTACAGCAAAACAGGTGACTTTGAAATGTTTCAGTGTAACAGTGCCACAAACACAAATGGTTCTTAGCTTCCCAGCAGCTGGGGAAATTTCAAATATTGTAATTTTTATACAGATTATAATATTTGGCAGTGATATATCCAACAAAGGAGCTCTGGTAGCATAGTGGCTAAAGGCACTTGACTGCTAACCAGAAGGCTGGCGGTTCAAACCCACCAGCCACTCCTCAGAAGGAAGATGGGGCAATCTACTTCCATAGTGATAC